ACGTATTTTAGGACGGCATTTCTGTCCAGACGTCTTATAATGCTATTTCTCTCGTTCTTACGTTTGCGATAGAGGATGGAAGATCGCCGCGACTCCCACCACTATTCCCTCTCCAAGCGTCCGACGATCGTATACCGCTAGCTCCCTCCGCCACTCCGTGCTGCTCTTAGCTCACCTACACGCAGCAGTGTATGAGTAACGCGTTATCGTGTGCGAGTTACACGGATATTCGGACGGCATTAACGCCGGTGCGTGTACATACTCTTGCATAAAGGCATAATGCACAACACATAAGAAAATTGACCAATCAGAATCCTCATTTCTATTGCCATGGTGAAAATGAAGGACTTTGGTCAATTTTCTTATGCGTTATGTATTATGCTTTTATGCAAGAGTGTGTGCTTCCCGCTTATACATTTTGATTGCATTTCGATATTCACTACCAAGAATTAACCAAACACTTTGAGTATCGTCGAACCGTAAGGTCGCTATTTTTGTGAATACTCGATTGTAATTGGTCCATTTTTACGGTACGTCTTACGTTACTGTTATGTCAATTCGTGTGCAGCGCTCCTTAAGCAGGTTATACACATAGACATATAATATATTGACTTCACGTTTGATAGGGGAAATTTGACATTACGAAAATTAGAAAGAGAAAGATGTTTTAAGCCGCAAACGTATAAGATTGAACGTATATGGCTGTGTTCCCATGGAGAAAGAATTACCGGAACGGAACAGAGATAAAACTAATCAGGGTAATTTCAAATTTCTATCTCTATTCCGTTCCGCTATTTCTTTCTCCATGGGGATATAGCCTAAGGCTTGATTATCGGAAGTGAATATCGAAATATCGAAATTAGTAGTGAATATCGGGACGCAACCACTGATCTCTATATATAACTGGATATGCCACGCATCATTAGCATGTGACGAAAATTGTTGCGTGCTGTGTGGGTCGTTTCATAATGTTCTAAATATTAGGATTTGATATTTTATAAATTATTAAACATCACGTGATCATGTGATAAAGATTCACATATAATAAAATTTACATATAAAAGTCTAATAAAAGTAATCGTTTAATATGGTAGTGTCGTTGTACTATCCAAACGATATATGTTTGTACATAATTTGGTACTGTCGTCGAAATAGTCAATCTATAGTGAATTGGTTATATATATTTACTGACGTGTTGTATCGTAAAAAAATTGATAATATATACGTCAGAAAGTAAATGTACTCTAATGTATACAATAATATAGAATATTTATCGATGTCGTCAAAATAGCCGATTCACACACACACACACACACACACACACACACACACACACACACACACACACACACACACACACACACACACACACACACACA